AAATTACCTGGTCATCTGGGTCGACAGCAATATCAACATGACAAATGTAGATTACCAGAATACACTCGCACAATTGCGCGGTGTTGTTAATGAAGTCAACCCATGCACCACGGCCGAACAATGTATCCAGAAGCTCCAGGAAAACAATGAGGAGACATCATTTGTCATCTCCTCAGGTGCATTAGGTCAACACCTGGTACCAGAAATTCATGGCATGCCAAAACTCGATGCCATATACATCTTTTGTGGCAACAAGCAACGTCACCAAGAATGGGCTAAAAATTGGCCCAAAATTAAAGGTGTGCATACATCGATCAAGCACATCTGTGAAAAATTGGCACTAGCTGTCAAACAATGCAATCAAGATCAAGTAACAGTTAGTATTATCAGTGTCAATGAAGGAGGTTCTAGCGAAAATCTCAATCAGCTAGAGCCTTCCTTCATGTATACACAAATATTCAAGGAAATACTCCTTGATATGGAACATGGCCAAAAAGCCATAAAAGACTTGGCCACCTTCTGCCAAGAACAATACAAGGACAATACCGAAGAACTGAAATTGATCGATGAGTTTCAACATACTTATCGTCCATCAAAAGCCATTTGGTGGTATACCCGCCAATGTTTTACATACAAAATGCTCAATAGAGCATTACGAACACTCGACGGTGATATTATCATCCGAATGGGATTTTATCTATGTGATGTTCATCGACAAATTGAAAGTTTACACACCAAGCAAGTTAGTCAATATCATGGTACGACATTTCTTGTTTATCGCGGGCAGGGATTATCAAAAGTAGATCACGAAAAACTCGTCAAAAGCAAAGGTGGACTCATTTCATTCAATAATTTTTTATCCACCAGTGTAGATCGTGATATTTCCCTCGGCTTTGCCAGAGACGCCTTAGGAACAGAAGGAATGATTGGCGTTCTCTTTCAAATGACCATTGATCCCATGGTCTCATCGACTCCTTTTGCCTCCATCAAGGAGGTTAGTTATTTCGCACAAGAAGATGAAATTATCTTCTCGATGCACACCGTCTTTCGAATCGGTGAAATTCGAAAAATTGATAAGAAAAGTCCACTTTATGAAGTGGAACTCAAACTTACGTCGGATGATGACCAACAACTTCGTCAATTAACCGACCGCGTACGAGAAGAATCTTCGGGTAGCACTGGATGGTATCGAATGGGTAAATTGCTGCTCAAAATTGGTCAATTTGATAAGGCTGAAGAATTATATACGGCACTACTAGAACAAGCGTCTGATGACAGCGATAGAGCACATATCTATCATATGCTTGGCATGACGAAAAATGACAAAGGGCAATATACAGAAGCAGCTCCATTTTACGAAATGTCTCTCGAAATTTATCGAAGAACTCTTCCAGAAGATGACCCTTCATTGGGTCCTATCTACAACAACATTGCTCTAGTGTATAACCACATGGGTGACTACTCGAAAGCACTTGAATTTTACGAAAAGGATCTCGAAATCACGAAAAAAGCTCTGCCTCCGAACCATCCCGATTTGGCTATGTCCTACAACAACATCGGCTCGGTGTATCATGACCTAGGTGATTACGCAGTAGCTCTTAGGGCTCTTCAAAGTGCTTTTCAAATTCAACAACAAGCATTTCAAGAAGGTAATCCAGCTTTTGCTTCGACATATAGTTGGCTCGGAAGAGTTTATTGCGGTATGAAAGATTATTCAAAAGCACTTGATAATTTCGAAAAGTGTCTCGCAATAGATCTAAAAACGTTACCTGAAAAACATCCCTATCAGGCTATTACATACAGTGATATTGGTGATGTTCATCGATTAATGGGTAGTTATGAAAAGGCACTTGCATTTCATCAAAAAGCATTAAATATTCAAGAAAATGTTCAATGTAGTCCTCTTCAGGTTGCAACGACATATATAAATTTAGGTGAAACTTATCGTGAAATGAAAGATTATTCAACAGCATTGACATATTTCGAAAAAGGATTAGAAATACGTGAGAAGAAATTATCAAAAAATCATCCTGATTTAGCTGTTGTATATCATAATATGGCAAAATTATATTTGGCTACAC